CTGCTAAAAATAAAATATTTATAGGGCAAATTTATAACAAAGTAGGAAGTTTCTAACCACCATTATTACTTCTGATTACCTTCGTGAATGCCATGCATGGATTTTAAGGTAATGCATTAATCATTGTTACTAAAGCCTAGATCACTGTACTACTAGGATGTCAGGTAATGATAACAACATTAACACATAACATTTACTAAGCATTTACTAGGTAGGGAGTAAAAAGTAATCATGGCTGAGCATTCTTAAATACACATAATTCTTTTTTAGAGAATCTTCATATCTACTGTTGTGATCATCGACATCTGGTTACCCTTATTTTGAAGAGTCTGGGCATAGTATATGCTTTCTGGGTAAGTTGTGTATAGCCAGTTATAGTCTTAGTTAATATGCTGTCCTCTTTTTTAAACATTCTTATATTTTTAAAAATATTTTTTGCCATAGGGCAAGTTTGCTCAACAGATGAAGAGGAGGCGAGAGGGAAGTAGGTCACCATGACCACGCCAGTCCCTTCTCTGCTCTCCTCCCAGGATCTGGGGCATGCCCACACACGTGTCTGGCATATTTCTCAGGCTGCCAGGTCCAGGCCTGGAACCAGAGTCGGTTATGTGGATCTAGCACCTTAGCCACCACGAAACCTGCTGGCACAATTAATATGTTTTCAAAAAGATCTTTCCTCACTTCAGGGACAGAGTTCAGCTCCTTGAATAAAGGAGCTGTGAAGAGTGACCAGCAGTTAGCGTAATGGCTATGTTGCCAGACTCCCATGTAGTCAACCGCGGTTTGAGTCCCAGACCCGGTGGCTGAAACTCATGCTGGGTGCATGTGCGTGCGTGCCCAAGATCCTGAGAGGAGAATGGAGGAGAAGGGATTGCGGTGTGGCCATGCCCCCTGGGGGGTGATTTCTTGCTTTCTGTCTCTCTCTGTCTCTCTCTCTCTCTGTCTTTCTGGTGAGCGTATGCGCCCTATAGCAAAAACCTCTCCAAAAAAAAAAGAGCTGTGAAGACAACTGGGGAGACTCGCACACACACACTAACCGTTACCCAGGCAACGGCAGCAGTTAGGTTTATGCGTGCCAATGTGATAGGTAAGAGTTTTAGACCGCGGTGAGACTCCAGGCTCAGTTCAAACACCAACCTGCTATGTGGCCTTATGTCAACCCCCGACACATTTCTGGGCTTAGCGTTCCCATCAGCCACTGCAGAGGCCGCGCTGTGTGGCTTTCCCACGCTTCATCTGTGGTGCATAAACTGGTGCGTACAGGATGAATGCTCTCTCGGCGGTTCCATTTAAAAGCATGCAAAGGCTTCAGAAACAAGGGTTCTTCTCTGAAAGATACTTACCACAATCTTGAAGTAATCACTCGGGATAACCATATCCCCATTCTTGACCCACTTCACGGTGGGAGTTGGTTTCCCAGCCACCTCACATTCAAATACAATGTCCATGGACTCATGAGCATAGGTATTAGTAGGTTGCTTCAGGAACTCAGGTGGAGCTTTAAAATAGAATGAAATCGGGATATTAATGAAAGAACAGGTAGCCAGTCATAAGTCAACCATTTTTTTAAAATCAGAGAATTCACAAGATCTTTACTTATTATCTGAGGTCTTCACATATTTTTGCAAAAGCATACAATAGATAGATATTTACAACTCATGGAAGGAATATCACTCCTTTAAAATTTGATCTTCTGGTATAATTAACTAGTACTGGGACAACTTCTGAGTTTCCTTAGCTCCTGGTTGAGAAATATTTACTAAGCTGACTATACTGAAGAAACTGAAAATCCAAATATTGTATATCATCTAAAAATGAACACTAACGGCAATTTCCCTATCTTTTTAAAAGAGTTGCAATTACAATTCAAAGAGGTGAAAAGACTGACACAACTTCCTTTGCCAGTTTGATGAATAACAAACAAAAAGTAAAACAAATGCCACCTCAGAGGCCTTAAATAATTCACTCATGCAATACAGTCTCATTAGTAACATCCCTTATCACATGAAGTAAGTTTTAAAAGTGGGAGGAAGAGTAGTAAGCTCTTTGGAGAAAGGTAAGTATTTGAAAAGGCTGCATACTCCAGCATCTCCCTTTCTCCAAAGTTGCACACTACTGACTAAAGAGAAAGACTGTCAATTAGAAGGATGGAAGAACAGTATCGAGTCCAACTTCCTACAAATGCTGTAATTTCCATACATCATCTATGACAGAGGGTCTTATTGATCCTTGTTTGAAAATTTCAAACGATAAGGAAGCCCATATATATCAACAAAGTTGCAAATTCTACTGTAAGCCAGTTCTATTAAGTGACAACGATGATGACAGTGGCAGGAGCCTCACTTACAGTTGAGCTAAGATATGGCCAGCCTACTTGGATTTTCACTGACATCATGTTGAATTTGTGGCAACTTCACATCTTAACAGTAATGAATCTTCTTTTTCCATGAACAAGGTTTATCTCTCCAATTATTTAGATCTTTGATTTCTTTCAATACCATTTTATACATCTCAGCATACAAATCTTGGCCATACTCTGTTAAGTATATTCTTAAGTATTTTGGAAATGTTTGGTGCTACTCTAATAAACCTCCCTGACTTTAACTCGTTGCATTCTCCATCACTACTAATACATGCTGCTTAAGATTATACATTCTTGGGGCCAGCAGGTGGCGTAGTGCTTAAGACACTTGACTCCCACCTGGCGGACCACTGTTCCAACCAAGCTCAGTTTCTAAGCCAGTTTCTCTAATCCTATTCTCTCCCTTCCGCTATAGGTCACCATTAAAAACAATTTTTTTATGGTTGACTGTTCCATTTTTTAAATTATAAGCAAGCACACATACAATAGCACACATACAAGCCCACTCTCTTTTTTTTTATACTATGAATGGTAACATATTAATTTTTTTCTATTTTCAAAGCCTGTACTCTTGTTTACTATAGTATCATGTTTCCAAGACTGACATTTTTCCATGAGTCTAAAGAACTGAGGCTCCCCCTAGGACAAAGTAAACAATTCTGCACACAGCAAAATCCTCTCCCCCCCCCAAAAAAAAAAAAATCAAATGACTATAATTGTAGCATGCACTTTTAGTAAACAGACTTTCAAAGACTTAGAAAAAAATCTTAACAACTTTCATCACTTATTTTTCCCTTTCATGAATTATAAAATAATTCCTTTAAAATGTTCTGTGGATTTGAACTACTCTGTAGATAGTACTCACACCAATTAAACACAATGTAACAGCAGATGTTTGTGGTCGGGAAGTTAAACTGATAACCAGAGAACAAATGAGCCAATTACCATAAGAAAGTCAGTGTTCTAGCGGAAGATTATGTATTTGTTACCAAAGAGATAATTAAGCTTCAAATCCTCTTTGACAGTTCCTTATCCCTTTCTAATGCCATCATCATTACAAGAATAATTTTAATTGCTAAGTATACAAGTAGAGTTTAATACTAACCATATTAGACTTGCAAAACTCCTTTACTAGAAATATTATTTAATTCCATCTCTTACATAATGCTGGAAAGCACCACTAGATTCAAACATAAGATAATACAGGGCAGGGCCGGCAGGTGGTATGGCGGTTGAGGCACTGGACTCCCACATGGCTGGCCGCAGTTCAAGTCCAGACCTGGTGGCTTGCTTTCTCACTTTCCTTCTCTGTCTCCAGCGAGTGCACACACCCTCTATGGTGAAACAAATAAACAAAAAAACCCTCCAGGTATAGACAGATACCAACAATACAGAGATATCAAGGTGTATCACAAAAATATAAATGGGGGACCAGCAGTTGGCATAATGGCTATGTCGCTGGACTCCCACCTAGTCAAACTGTGGTTCGAGTCCCAGACCTGGAGGCTTAAACTCATGCTGGGGGCGAGTGCATGCGTGCCCAAGATCTGAAGAGAATGGAGGAGAAAAGATTGCGGCGTGGCCATCCCCCCTGGGGAGTGGTTTCTTGCTTTCTGTCTCACTGACAAATGCACATGCCCTGTTAGCAAAAACTTCTCTATTAAAAAAAAAATGTATACACACACATACATATATGTGGAAAATTTTACTTGGGGGCGGAGGAAAGGAGATGTGTGTCAAACTATTACAGCTGTTTTAAGAGAAGAGAAAAAAAATTTTTTTTTTTTTTAAATCTCATGACCCATTTTAAGTGTTATCAACAATCTGAGATGACAGGAAATACAATGGGCTAGTTCACGTCACACTGCGTGCAACAAGCGCGTGAGTTAGTGATAAGGCAATAAATCTGAAATGTTTAACAGATGAAGAGTGAACTTAGAACCTTTCCTGCATTAACACCCATGATGGCATTTCCTGTGGCTATAATTTCTTATAAAATAACAGAAGTCAGACAGGCATGACTGCATTTAGATATAGCTCCAGTTAGTTCTCATAAGCTATTTCCCCACCCACCAAAAAAAAAAAAAAAAAAAATCAGTTATGGGACAAGGCTCAAAACAAAATTTTCCAAATATGTTTTTGCACAGAATGATTTCTTGTCTGTAAACACTAAGGAAGACAAGGCTTTGCACTGTACACATGACCAGGACGGTCAGGATGGCTGTAGCTACCACTCGGAGAAGCCTGTCTCCAGAGACATGAGGTCTCTCTCCTTCTTGTATCTGTACACTTATTCTTATTGTGAATAAAATTAATTTTAAATATATATATACATTAGCTTACAGGGTGGAAAAATCCAGCAGTCAGGGAGAATGGCCACAAGCTATCGTCTGCCCAGCCATAGTTTAGATAAAGACCTTTGTCAAGTTGTATATGTGTCTTATGAGGGGTTTATCAACATGGTTATTCCTTTTCTCCCTAATTTGTTCATTTCTTCCATGGGTGAGAGAAAGACATGACACCTGGACGTGTCCCGTTGCCAGGATCCACCTCGGCCCCAGCCACCCCAGGCCACGGCCACATGTGCCTGCCATGTGCTGCCATGTGCCTGCCGCCAGTCTGGGATGGAACCACAGTCAGCGCGTGGGATCCAGCCACCTTGACTACCTGCCGCTCGCTGGCCCAAGGTAAGTACTTTCACTGTCTCCGTCTCACAGATGAAGAAAACGAGGTTCAGACAGGTCAGACCAATCTCAGCGGTCAGACGGCAAGGACACGCCGCCCTGACTTAGAGCTGGAGCAGCCCGAGTGGCAGTGAGGCTTTCACCGGTCACACTGCATTGCTTCTCCCTCCTAACAACCAGCAGGTCCAGAAAGGACGCGATTTCTAACCTACACGTAGATGTTTACATACTTTGTACTGTTAGCTCCGCTGAGGCTTCAATGGTCTCATTCCCATTATCCGCTACACAAAAGTAGATCCCAGCGTCATCCTCGGTGACATCGCTGATCTCCAGGCTGCCACCTGCCAGCAGGGTCAACCTCTCAGAGCTGCATGAAAAACGGATACCTGTCAGGACTATGAGGACAGGGAGAACACTTACACGGTATTATTATTATTCCAGACGGACCAGATGAACACAGTTATCAGAATTTAATTTAGTCCAGTTTGCTTTACTCAAATTTTACATGAATAAATATCACCAATACAAATCAAATGTCATGATGACTTTTCTCTGACAACTCCAGTTATTTCCAAAGGAAATCACTGCCATGACCAGCTCCATTTCACTGGCCCGGCCCTACCTCCCTGCTCTGGCTGTGTGTGTGTGTGTGTACACGCATGCGCGCGCACACACACACACACAAATTATGGAATCCTGGAGTTTGGAATCCAGTTGAGAGTCACTCCACCACGAATAGGCCCCACTGAGATCACTAACAGAAACAGGATAAAAACAGTCAAATGTCAGACCAGAAACGGCAGGTCATGGGGTCTTGATGCCTCCCGGAAGTTTCCTGTGGTGACTTGGTGAGGACAGGAAAGAGGCAGGGAAGGGAGAAAGGAGAATGGATGTCCGGAAGCAGCCCTGCAGTATGAGCTGGGCACAAATCACCCACCATCGAGACATGGTCAACAGGGTGCGGACAAACACTGACCCGGCTCTGCAGCGTGATTTAGGCCTCAAGGGAAACTAAAATAACTCTGTGATATTGAAGAAGAGACCACAAATCAACACTCTGGTGAGCACACACACCCTACAGCAAAAAAAAAAGAAAAGAAAAGAAAAAAAGAAGAAGAGGCCTGGGAGGAAAAATGACTGCATGCTTGGCAGATTCATTGACTAGTTCATGACTCACAGTGAAGACAGAGTCAAATTGCTAGAACTCCAAAATACAAAATACAGGGAAAAAGCACGGTACGTGGGAAAGCGTGTCCGGCCAGAGGACTCAGACCCACGTTAAGGTCAAGGTTGCAGGAAAAGGAAAGGGTACGCCCCGAACAGCTTGAGGCCAGCCTGGAGAGCCTGGTGTGCTAAGCAGGCTTCTTTTCTTTTTTCTTTTCTTTTCTTTTCTTTTCTTTTCTTTTCTTTTCTTTTCTTTTCTTTCTTTCTTTCATTTTTCTAATCAAAAGAAAATACTTTGAAGCAAGTAAATGACATGATCTGATTTTGTGGAAAGATTTGTTTCTATCGGGTTGTTGGAAAAGTCATGAAGCAATTTTACACAGAAAAATGCAGGCGAAAACCGTGACTTCCCGTGACCCAGTGTTGGGCTGTTCTGAACACCCGTGCCCAGGTCTCTGGGTGAACTTGGTTCGCAAAGGCCCAGAGCACAGGGTGCGGCCACTGGTGGCACGCAGCTGCTCAGTTACGTCTGCTAGGAGGTGCCGGACGCTTTCCCAGGTGGCTAAGGCACCTTCACACCCCACGGTGGGCCAGAGTGGCCCCGTTTCTCTGCAGTTTCTGGAAAATCAAAAGGAGTGACGAGCCCTTAGCATTCTGAAAGCACTTTTCTCTTTAACCAGACGCCATGCCTACCCATTTCGAGGACGGCAGCTGAGTGCCACAGCATGCTCAAGGAGACGCTCATCGCTCACTGACCACCGGTCCCAGGCAGGCTCAGACCCCCGCCTGGAGCTGGGGCGGGAACCCACCTGGCCGTGTCCAGCGCTTCCTCCTGCTTCCTCCACCTCACAGTGGGCGCGGGAAGGCCTGCGGCGACGCAGGGCAGCACCACTCGCTGACCGGCCACTCGCACCAAGGCAGAAGGCTGCTTCAAAAACACCAAGTTCGAAGACACCTCAGGATCTAAAAAGGGAAAAGAGAGACAATGACATCAAAGGCAGGGCACTGACTGCTTTAGCTGTGGGGACAGGCTAGCGCCTGCTCGGGCGTGTGGCTTCATACAGCGAGTATTGGAAGCAAAGCTGACCTGAGAAACTCCCGTTTAATTCTTTTTTTTTTTTTTTAAATAAATTAATCATCAGAGGGCAAGTGCATTTGCCAGAGAGAAAGACAGACATTCACAAAAGGAGAAAGAAAAGCACCCCCCAGTGGGCATGGCCAGCACGACCCTTCTCCCTCCATTTCTCCATCCTGTCAGGGTTGGGCCTGCCCCC